TGGCTCGTCAGTGTGGGGCTGAAAAGTGGATCAAAGTCCATGAAAATTTGATTTAAAACCTTTATTCATTCCAACAAATTATTGGGATTTTGTTGAGGATTTTACCATTTACGGCAACAAAAAAACTTTCAGAATTTAACGCAAAGAAGGTTTAAAGTCTTTCGCCAAAAATACTTTCAATTTCTTCTTATCCTATGTTAACCTCCATGCAATCTCCATCCTTTTATGATCAATAAATTGGACTGTAAAATACTACTTAGTATCTTCCACATGCCTTTATAATGTCTGATGTATTCATATTTATGACAATAACTGTTGTGAGCACAAGATTCACTGCACGGTTTTAAAGTTTTGCTAAAACAAAAATTAATATATAAAATGTAAACTTAAGTTTTGCGAAATTTGTTTGATGTGTACCGATTGAAATTTTAATCTAAGAGAACATGGTTTATCTATTAGTTGAACTAGCTTTCAGTAGCTGCGAGTACTCATGGTTCAATAATTTGTGTCTTTATGTTATGATTTTGTGTGCTAAGTGTTGTGTTGTTACACCACTGTACCAATGAAGGAGGAAAGGAGGAGGGGTTGGGTGGGGTGTGGAGCGCAAACAAACATGTTAAGCCCTGTCACGAGTGCCCAAAACCAGTGGTCGATGCTTGCTATCTGTCATGTTTGTTTTTTGTTCGAAGTTGTATTTTAAATCAGGCCGAATGTCTTCATTATTTAATCGTTTACCGTGATTTTTATAGCTAGTATTCGTTATGGTTTTTGCTCGTTGTTGAAGGTCATACTTTGACTTGCAATTGTTTACATCTTGTTCCATTCTAGTAAGTTTTTATCAGCCATGTATGAAAATCCAGTCGAAATGTATTGGAGACAGTGTATATATTAAGGAAGAAATTAGAGGCACCAGTAGTAAGATCATCTAACCTCGTATATTTAACTGAAATAAACCAGTCAAACGTTTGTTGTTATAATATACATGTCGCTTAACCTTAAGAACCTTTTAAAACTGTTTTAGTTAGCATATTATTTAGAGAATCATCAATTTAAGGGCATTTGGTATCTTAAATAAAACTATTCTAATTAATAGATATATTTTCATCTGATATTGGACGGAAGATGTTGCCCTTTTATGTAATATAAGTTACGATTATTTGAAAACGCTCATTAAACAGACAAATGGATGCACAAAAGTAAAAATAGGAGTCACAAATCCGATTAAATATAGATTCTACCACTGCATCGAGTGTGATACGATATTTATTCACTCGAGACAGTTAAATTTTCAAATTTAAAACGCGAGGCTCGCCGAGCGTTTTAAATATTTAAAATTTAACTGTCGAGAGTGGATAAATATCGTATTACACGAGATTTGGTGGTGGAATCTGTTTCTCTAATGATTTTCAAACAATACGCAGGCAAATTTATTCCTTCTTTTCGAATGATCTGCAAAAAGATGTGTTCTTTCTATGTGACGTCATCAGGCATGGTCGCCTTTTTTCATGCCGTCACAATAGGAAATTCAGAGGAAAGCAAGAAAATTCGACGTCATAATCGGATTTTAACCAATGAAGAACTGAGATCAAACGAACCACACGTTGATTAAATTTTTTTTATAAAATGGGTGCAGAAAGGAATAAATTGACGAAGAATTAGAGAAATACAATTATCTGCCCAATTTTATTGATTCTGTAACGTTTGTTTCAAATATAACCAACCGTTTACCCAAAATCACCAGCACCGTATCAGGACCCACCAGCACAATGACAGTACCCACCAGCACAGAATCTGAACTGAGAAAATGCACAACTTTAATAAATTGCACAAGTTTTTCACAAAATAATTTTGTCGTGTGGATTTAGGTATAGAAAGCGGACTTCAGGAGCATTTTTGTTTTATTTTTTCAGTTCTAGATTTTCTAAAAATGAGCACTTTTGTGTTACGCTTACTGAAACAGTTTAGAGGGTCACATTTAAAATTGTTTGCCTATGAACCCATAAGAAACAAAATTTAAACATCTCAACTGTTTCCTTCCATTTTTATGCGAGAAAACGTCAAAATTCGTCATTTTCGTCTTTGTTTACATATTTTTAATGATCACCAGCACCAGTCAGAACCGAATCACCAGCACAGAACGTTCTCTCGCAGGACAACCTTACCCACCGTGATCAATGTTGTTTTTTTATTCAATTGTCTTTTCGTGTTTCCATTTACCAACGTGTACAGTACTGTCATTAATTACTTCGCTTTTACCTTGTGTATTACTTTATAGTTAAAAGACAAACACAAAGGAGAGTGTATATCTGACAAAAATCAGAAACTTCGCAATTATCCACTTTACATAAAATATTCGCAGTACATACCATATAATCTACTACGCTAACACTTCGACTTGTAGTAGGTTTACCAAGTTCTCCTTAGTTGACCTACATATACCAAAGCAGTACAGGTGCCGGGCGCGACGGCAGGCATCAGGCAATCAATTAATCAAGTTATTCATCTGAATCACCACAAGTTAAGTCCATACATAAAATTCAACCGACTCAAACCAATCCTTCTGTTGACTCCTTCACATTTCATAAACTTGTTTTTCGATTAACTAACTTGTCAATATGTGGACATGATTTACTAGTAACATCCGGTTTTTATCTAGGGTCTTCCTTCTACCAGTTTATCAATTATATTTTCTTTCTTCCAGATTGCCAGGAAACAGTCCGCTTGAAAATTTTCAACGACAAACCCGCAAAGCCAATGTTATATCTTCGGCAGGTCCAAAGAAGCCAACGACAAGTAAAGATGGGAGTATTAAATCGCAAGTTTTACAGCTGCTCAACTCTAAGGCGAATGGAAAATCAGAGATAAAAGCAATCGAACCTATAGAGTTCAAGAAACCAAAGAAATCTAAAATCAAGAAAGGAAACACAAAAACTACACTTTCGACTGTGAAGGGCACGGAGGTAAAAACTAAGAAGGACGGGACAGGCAAAAGCAAGAAAAATAAAGCACTGAAATCTATGCAAAAGGAGATTAAAAAGCTACAAAAAAAGTTAACTCCGAAATCTAAATCAACCTCTGTCACTCAAAAGGCAACCCAAACTAAAGTAAAAAAAGCAAAGGATCCAAAGTCAAATTCAACCAAGATAAAGAAGAAAGAAGTGAAGAATTCGAAGAAAATTATAAACAAACCTAAAAACGGAAAACTTAAGCCAAGCAAAAATAAAGTGGCTAAAGCTAAGTTAAAGACGACCAAGAAAGATGGTAAAAAGAAGTCAAATAAGAATAAGGCGACTAAAGCTAAGTCAAAGAACAGGAACAAAGTACTTAAAACTAAGACAAAGCAGATAAAGGAAGTCACTAAAAATAAGTCAGGGAATAAGAAGGTTAAAACAAAGGTTATAAAAAAAGTACTCAAAAATGTGTCAAAGAAAAAGAAAAAGGCTGACACTAAGTCAAAGAAGATTAACAAAGTAATCAAAAATGACCCAAAGAAAAAGAAAGTGGATATAAAGATAAATCTCAAAACTGAATCTAAGAAACTCAAAGTTAAACCTATAAGCATAAAATTAAAACAACCAACAACAAAGAAGCTCATTGCTAAGCTGAAAAAAGTTAAAAAGATTGCAACAAAAAAACTTCTTAATCAGCTTAAGAAAGTGAAAGTAGCTGCAACCAGTAAACTCAATTTGAAGCTTCAGAAAATAAAAAAGACACAATCTAAGAAACTAAAAGATGAGCCTAAGAAGATACAAAAGGCTGAAACAAAGAAGCTTAATACTGTGATTAAAAATATGAAAAAAGTTGAAAAAGGGAAATTAACTGACAAGCTTAAGAAAATAAAACAGGATGAAACAAACAAACTCAATGTTAAGCTCGAAAAAATAAAACAACTTAAAACAAAGGAACTCAAAGCTGATCGTCAGAAGATCAAAAAGACTGAAGCAAAGAATATCAAAAATGTGCTGAAGCAAGTGAAAAAAGCTGAAGTAAAGAAACTCAATACCAAGCTTAAAAGCATAAAACAGGCTAAAACAGAGAATCTTAAGGTAAAAATTGAGAAGATCAAAGAAGCTGAAACATCAAAAATCAAAACTAAACCTAAGGAAAAACAACAGGCTAAAATAAAAAAACTCAACACTAAGTTGGCGAAAATAAAGCGGGTTGGGACAAAGAAAATAAATGCAGCACTTAAACAAATCAAACAGGTGAAAACAAATAAAATCAGTGCAAAGATAGAGAAAATAAAACAGGCTAAAAAAGAGAAACTCAAAGCTATACCTAAGAAGATAGAGAAGACTCAATCAAAGCTTATCAAAGCCAAGCTAAAGGAAATAAAACAGGAAGAAATAAAGAAACTCGATACCAAACTTAAGAAAATAAAACAAGTCAAAACACAGTCCCTTAATGCCAAGCTTGATAAGATCAAACAGTCGGAAAAAACCAATATCAAGACAGAGCCAAAAGACAAACAACAAACTAAAATAAAGAAACTTAATACAAAGATTAAGGAAATAAAACAGGTGGAAAAAAAGAAAATAGGTGTTAAGCTTAATGAAATAAAACAAGCCCAAAAACATGAACTCAATGCAAAGCTTAAGAAAATAAAGATGGCTGCAAAGAATCTCGACACTAAGCTTAAGAAAACAAAACAAGTTGAAACAAAGAAACTAACTGCTAAGCTTAAAGACGTAAAAAAGAATAAAATGAAAGACCTCAAGGAAAAACTTAAGAAGGTAGTACAGGTCGGAACCAAAAAAATCAAAGCAAAACCTAAGAAAGTACAGGCAGTTAAAAGAAAAGAGCTCAAGGCTAAAGTTGAGAAATTAAAACGAGTTGAAACAAAGAAAGTCAAGGATAAGATTATAAAGATGAAGAAAGTTGAAACAAAGAAAATCAAAGCTAAGCTAGCGAACATAAAACAGGTTGGAACAAAGAAAATCGTGAAGAAGCTGAAGAAAATGAAAAGTAAACCAACTGTTATTAGTACAGTTGCTACGGGAAAAAAGCAAGTCAAATTAATTAAGAAAATAAAACAGGCTAAAAAGAATCTCAAAACTGAGATCAAGAAAGAAAAACAGGTTGAAACAAAGAAACTAAATGCTAAGCTTAAAATCATAAAACAGGATAACATGGAAAAAGTCGATAAAAAACTTGAGAAGGTAAAACAGGTCGAATTAAAAAAAATCGAAGCAAAACCTAAGAAAGTGCAGGAAGTTAAAAAAAAAGAACTTAAGGCTAAACTAAAGAAATTGAAGCAAGTTGAAACAAAGAAAGTCAAAGATAAGATTGTAAAGATGAAGAAAGTTGCAACAAAGAAAATCAAGGCTAATATAGATAAACTAAAACAGGTTGAAACAAAGAAAATAAAGAAAATGGTGAAGAAAACGAAAAGTAACCCTATTGTTATTAGTACAGCTATTACAGGAGGAAAGATAAAGTCTTTGATGTCTCAACCAACTAAATCAGTGAAACTTAACACTAAAGCAAAGAATCTAAAATCAGACATACAGGCAATACTTAAAGAAAAAACAAAGACATCAATTAAACCAAAGATTAAACCAAAGACATCAAAACTCATTAAAAAAATGAAACTGTCAACAAAAATTGAGAAAATCAAACAACCAGAATCAGAGAAAATCAAAGAAGAGCTAAGTAAATTGAAACAAGAAGTTAAAACAAAGAAGCTCAAAGCTAAGCTTAATCAAATAAAAGAAGTTAAAGCAAAAAAAATCGAAACCAAACTTGAGAAGATGAAACAGATTAAAACTAAAAAACTCAAGACTGACCTTAAAAAGATGAAACAGAAAGAAACAAAATTACTCAAAGCTAAGATTAAAGAGTTGGGACAGACAAAAACAATGAAACTCAAAGCTAAGATTAAGAAGATGGGACAGGCAAAAACAAAGAAACTCAAAACAAAGCTTAGGAAGTTGGAAAAGGAAAAAATGAAGAAACTCAAAGTTGCGGTGAAGAAATTAGAGAAGGCTACCGAAAAGAAACTCCAAGTGGCGGTGAAGAAAATAAAAAAGGCTAACAAAAAGGCACTCAAAGCCGAACTAAAGAGAAAGCAAGCTACTGAACAAACGAAAAATGAGACCAACGTTCAGCAAAAGAAAGCATTAAATAAGATGATGAAAATGATTACAACGTTGAAAGTTAAGCAAAAACAAATTGACTTAAAACCAGTAGCTGTCAAGTCTAAAACGAGCCTTAAAGATAAATCTGAAATGAAGAAGAAACCTTCAAAAAAAGGAGTGGTTCATATTGTGACGAAACTAGTCAAAGGTAAAGCTTTAAATAAAGAAGCTGTAGAAGGAATACTTGAACCAGAAAAGACTAACGGAAGTATTTCAATAAAAGTTGGAAATAAAACGAAAAAATCTAAAGAGAAAGCAGTGGAAAAATTGTTGAAGAAACTCGTAAAAGGAGAAGTCCTGAAGCAGAATGTTTTTGCAAAAAAGATAAAGCCTAGTAAGAAAAAACAAATAACGAAAGCAATAATAAAGAAAGTGAAAAAACTTGTTAACGTGAAAAAACTTGTTAAAGGGAAAGCACTGGATAATAAAACAACTGCAGACATACTTAAATCTATCAAAAAGAAGACACCTTTACGTAAAGCAATTATGAAGAATGTGAAAAAAATTGTTAAAGGAAAAGCACTGAAACAAAAGAAACTTGCAGGAATACTTGACACTAAAAAGAAGAAACCTTTACAAAAAGAAATTATGAAGGATGTGAAAAAAATGGTTAAAGGAAAAGCACTGAAACAAAATAAACTTGCAGGACTACTTGGCTCAAAGAAGAAGAAACCTTTACAAAAAGCAATTATGAAGGATGTGAAAAAAATGGTTAAAGGAAAAGCACTGAAACAAAAGAAACTTGCAGGAATACTTGGCTCAAAAAAGAAGAAACCTTTACATATAGCAATTATGAAGGATTTGAAAAAAATTGTTAAAGGAAAAGCACTGAAAAAAAACAAACTCGCAGGAAAACTTGGCTCAAAAAAGAAGAGACCTATACATAAAACAATTATGAAGGATGTGAAAAAAATTGTTAAAGGAAAAGCACTGAAAAAAAAGAAACTTGCAAGAATACTTGGCTCAAAAAAGAAGGGACCATTACATAAAACAATTATGAAGGATGTGAAAAAAATTGTTAAAGGAAAAGCACTGAAACAAAAGAAACTTGCAGATTTACTTGGCTCTAAAAAGAAGAAAACTATGCAGAAAGCGGCAATGAAAGCCGTAAAGACACTTGTCAAGGGAAACGGAAAAAAACCAGGAGTAAAAAGCGTAAATAAAAACAATACACTTAATATTCTAGGAACACCTAATCCAACGAAACCTGCCGAAATAGGTGTCAAAAATACTTCAAAAAACACCACGGAAAAGGCCATTATAAAGAAAGGGAATGCATCTATACTGGAAAAGGGAATTCAAGTAAAGAAAGAAGCTAATATAATCAAAGCTAAAATTGAAAAGATGTTATATAGGGTGAATACGAAGAAAAAAGGGGCTTCACCAAAATTAGCGTTAAAAATAGAAAAAATGGCTGACACAAAAAAGAATCAGGTCGACGATATAGTTACACAAAAAAATAAGGAGAATGAGGTCTCGATGGACGGTCTGTATGGAGCAAACTCTCCTATGTACTCAAGTCTGATGCATCTTGAAGTTGACCTTTTAAAACTTTTAGACTACATGGAGCATTCAAAGGTGAAAATGGGTGACGCGTTTGAGTCAAAAGCATTGAAAAAAGAATTGAAAAGTGCAAACAAAGGAAACGATGTGAACGTGTTCAATAAACAACTTAGCTCAGTGATGAAAAAGATGAAAGGAATTGATAAAAAGATATCGGAGGAACACAACAAAATTGTTGGATATTAAATTAATCTTTTCGTTGATATCATTTAAACATATATGGTTTCATTTAGTATTGTTTTATTAGGATAAAAAATTATTTATTTTCTCTTTTCCCTTTATTCTAAAATAAATTTGACGGAAACTAAAATACAAATTGATATGCTTGATGTGTACTTAGTATATGATGAAGGAAACTAGCTAAAAAGATATAAATATATATCAGTTTCAATTTGTGTACTGAATTAAATTATGTCTCCTCTTCGACGGAGGGCGACACTATTTTATAGTAGTATTTCTTCTTCTGATTCTTCTCATACAACCATGCCCGGGCCAAATTTTTTTGTCTTTTGATACTGGCTTTTGATATTAGGTATGAAGTTGTATCACGATAAGATGGTGAGTCAAGATGGTGAGTCGCTTATAACAATGACTATCGTGTGACCTTGACCTTGGTCCTCAATTTTGAAATACTTGATTTTAGGAAATTTTCGTGTCTAAAACAACTTTTTTATCCGTTGACATAGGGTTTTGATATTTGACACTGACCTTGAACTTTGACCTTAATGGTAAAATTATTGATTTGTATATGTCCACTCCATAACCATATATTTTCTTGCTTGCCATGACCAGACCTGTTCAATGCAACTAAGGGTTTGCCACTGGGTGGTTATGCTCCAGTCCTTCGTGTAATAAATCGTTAAATATCTCAAAAATTGTTCAGATGACCACCCTTTTACGATGTCTGGTCTTAATTGCCTTGATAATATTTTTTAATTCAACTAAGGTTTCGTCCCTGAGGGACATGCCCAATCTCATGAACATCATTGATTATCCACCCTTACTTAGATAATATATAGTCTTAATTACATTGATATTAACTTTTTCATATAGGTTTTGTCTCTGTGTGTTATGCCCAATCCCTTGAATACCACTCATTATTTAATATCTTTAAAAAACCCTAAACCATACATATTCTTAATTGTCATGACAAGACCTTTTAAGTGCACCATTAATTTTGTCTTAGTTGGGGAAGGGAGACATTGCCCATACCTAAATATCATTATGTGTTCAATATATTGAAAACATTTAAAATTCCTATTCATTAAGCATAAATAATATTCTTATTTGCCACGACAATACCTTTTCAGCAATTGTGTTTTATTGACCTTTTCTTTACTTGACCGACTTCTAGAGGTGAAAGCATTAGTTTTAGTCTACAAGGCGATACATTAGTTTTAGTCTACAAGGCGAGAAATTAGTTTTAGTCTTCAAGGCGAGAAATTAGTTTTAGTGTACAAGGCGATACATTAGTTTTAGTCTACAAGGCGATTCATTAAGTTTTAGTCTACAAGGCGATTCATTAGTTTTAGTCTACAAGGCGATACATTAGTTTTAGTCTACAAGGCGATACATTAGTTTAAATTCACAAGACGATACATTAGTTTTATTCTACAAGGCGATTCATTAGTTTTAGTTCACAAGGCGGTACGTTAGTTTTAGTTCATAAGGCGGTACATTAATTTTAGTCCACAAGGCGATACGTTAGTTTTAGTTCACAAGGCTGTACATTAATTTTAGTCCAAGAAAACAGTTCCACTAGTTTTATTTCTCTTACCTTTATTGTCACTATTTTGTCTGCTTTTTAGTTTTATGATGTTGTTTGTCCCCACTAGGATATAAAAATAAGATGTGGTATTGTTGCCAACCAGAGACCAAATGACATAGAAGTTAACCACTACAGGTCACCGTATGACCTTCAACAATGAGCAAATCCTATACCGCATAGCAAGCTATCAAAGGCCCCGAAATGGCAAATGTAAAACAATTCAAACGATTCAACTAATGGCCTGATTTATGTATAAAACAATAAACGAAAACAACTATGATATACAGAAACAAACGACAACAACTGAATTACAAGCTCCTGACTTACGACAGGCACACAGAATGTGGCGGGGTGAAACATGTGCGGGGCGCCCAACCATCCCCTTACCTGTGACAGAATGTTTCTTTGAACATGGATGTGTAAAACGGGACGAGCAGGTTTTGTTGGTTTAGTACCCTGATCGATGGTTATTCAAACATGAATAGGAAATGTGAGTTATGAATGTATGAGACAGCAAACGAGCGACACTAAAAAAACAATAGACATTTTGAAACAGCAAACAAACGACGTCAAGAAACTCAAAGCATGAGACAGCAAACGAACGACACTAAAAATAAAGAAAAACAAACGACACAAAAAAAAACAATAAGACATCTTGAAACAGCAAACAAACGACACACAAAAAAAAAATTACAGACATCTTGAAAGAGCAAACAAACGACACAAAAAAAAACAATAGACGTCTTGAGACGGTAAACGAACGACGCAAACTAAAAAGCAATAGACATCTTGGGGAAGTAAACGAAAGACGCAAAATAAATAAAAAAAGACATTTTGAGTCATCATACGATCATGAAAAATAGAGTGATGTCTATACTATTGGTCAAGCTGTATACCGAGTCGACATAAAGATCTGCCATCAACGACTAAAGCATGGAAACAGGATGTGGTTTAATTGCAAATGAGATAAGTATCCACCAGAGACAAAATTATGTAAATATACAAAAAGGGGTCGGTAGAATAGGGAGAAAAACGAAGATTTGGTCTCCCTTAAACAGTTTTTACGGTACCAGCGACTTATTAAATTTATCAATTACTCCATTTTGGTATTTCTAGAAACTTGAAAGTATTTGATAAAGAAATTTACTACTAATGTCTCTTTTATCGACCATGCTATTCTTTTTTGTAGCTCCCCCTCGGATCTTCATTTACTTTTGGGGACCCTGTATTTTCGGGTTATGTGTTAGATGTTTGACTATGATCAGGTATTGGTAGGACATAGTTTTAGAGTTAGGGTTAATTTGGATCGATTTCTTGAGGTATCAGCTTTTTTCACTTGTTCCCGCTAGAATATAAAAGTGGTATTGTTGCCAAATATCCACCAGAGACCAAAAGACGTAGACGTTTTAAAAAACAACTATAGGTCACCATACGGCCTTCAACAATAAGAAAACCTAATACTGCATAGCAAGCTATAAATGACCCAAAATGACAAATGTAAACATTTAAAACGGCAAAACTAACGGCCTGTTTTGTGTTCAAAACAATTAACGAAAAACACATATGATATACAGCAACAAACGACAACCACTGGATTACAAGCTCCTGGCTTTGGACTGGCACATACAGAATGTGGCGGGGTTAATGTTTGCGGGCGCCTAACCTGGTACAGAATGTTTCTTTGAACATGGATGTTATTGTGTAATACGGGGTGGGCAAGTTTTTTTGGTTTAGTACCCTGGCCTGATCGATAGTTATTCAAACATGAATAAAAGGAAATGTGAGGTACGATTGTTTGAGACAGCAAACGAACGACGCCAATTAATAAAACTAGACATCTTGAGTCATCATACGATAACGAAAAATAGACTGATGACTATACTATTGGTCAAGCTGTACACCGAGTCAAAGATCTGCCATCAACAACATAAGCATGGAAACAAGATGTGGTTTAAGTGCCAATGAGACCAAATGATGTAAATATACTGAGAGGGGTCGGTAAAATAGGGAGAAAACCGAGGATCTGGTCTCCTGTAAACAGTTTTTAAGGTATCTTCGACCTTTTTATCAGTAACTCATTATCAAACACGCTATTCCCTTTTGTAGCTCCCCCTCCATTTGCTGTTGGGGACCCTGTATTTTCAGGTTTAGGTTAGAGTTTGGTTTAATTTAAATTTTAGGGTTAGGTATTTAGATGTTTGACTAGTATTATGATTAGGTATTGGTAGGACCTAGTTTTAGAGTTATGGTAAATTTGGATAAGCCCCATATTGTTCGGATTCCATAAAGTAAATAAAGCCCCAAAATTAATGTTTTGTTTACTTGTTTTGTCTGCATTTATCCAAATGTTTTGGAACATTACATCAATTATAGATATAACATTTTGCTTTATTTTTACATGTTTTACAAGGACTAGCAAGTCAGTGCAATTACAACTTTTGTGATAGAATTGAATGAATTGAATGCACTGGTCTAAGCTCCTCCCGTTCTTTCCTTTTTCTAAGAGTAAGAAAATAAAGGAAACCAGGAAGCTTTGCTGCGTACACGATTATATGAGTGAATAAGACGGTAACGTTTCTCTGGTATAACTCTAGCTACAAAAAGTAATAACGGTGCTCTAACTCAACTAAAACTTCTAATTTAATATTTTTTGGGAAAATGGGGGCTAAAATATAACAGTTTAATGCCATTAGTTGAAGAAGAACACCACTTTAGTTTGTATATATGGGCACCAATATTTAAGAAAGAGTGAAATTAGGACAGAACACTCTGTCTTTCAAATAGTGGGTAAGCTGGTTCAATGATTATCTCTCTTCCAAATAATACTCTTCAGTTTTTGACGCGTTCGCCGCACAGGGACTCGGTATGCAGATCAACATTTTTATGCCCCCGTCGTTAGGCGAAGGGGGCATTAAGCACCCGTACGTCCGTCCGTCCGTCAGAACGAACGTCCGTCCCAAAATTGGTTTCCGTTTTCTAACTTTAGTTTGCCTTAACCAAATGTTATGAAACTTAATATACCCAATGCATATTACCTTAAAACACAGATCAAGTTCGAATGAGGGTGGCGTCACTTTTACAGTTCTCTAGTTATATCCCTTTATAACGTTATATGCAAGCGGGGGCTTCATATGTGTCCCATGGACACATTCTCCATTTATTTTAATCAGGCATCAATATTTCGTAGTTTTTTAGCAATGTGCATGCAGTTTACTATCAACATCAGTATACTGAAAAAACCCTAAATGGATCTAAGTCGCCATTACGAATAGCCTACCCTTCATTAAAAATATTTCTATGTGACTGTATACCTTATAAAGGCATTCATTTCCTTCCTAAATGATTCTTATACCAGAAGTATGTATATTGATTTCCCGATCAACGACTATACCTTAGACATTTTTTTAACGACGAGACACTGTTCTTCAATTTCCAAATTC